CTCACTGGGTGATTTGGGGCCAGTCACATAATTTCAGCCTAACCTATCTCACAGGGTTGTTGTGCAGAGAAAAAGAAGGAGAGCAAATAATGTAAGCTGCTCTGGTCCCCACTGTGGAGAAAGGTGGGGCATAAATGAAGTAAATTAATAATAAATATAGCTGAAGATGGGAGGCAGATAAAAGGTAAGTTATTGAATGGCTGAAAATGAGAGAATGAGACAGAGGAAGGGGAGAGGATATGGGGGTTGCTAGAAGGAAGGGAAGAAGAAATAATATGGGGAGGGGGATAGAGGGGAAAGTGAGGTGCCACCCCACAAGTCCTTAAGGGTTAGAAAATGCCTGGAGATTTGGGGGTAGGGATCTGGGAATGGGGGGGGTTGAGGAGGGGAGGGACCTCAGAAGGGTATAATGCCATACACTTGACCCTACAAAGCAGCCATTTCCTCCATGGGTACTAGGGTAGCCAACCTCCAGGTGGGGGTTGGAGATCATCCAGAATTACAACTGTTCTCCAGATGACAAGAGATCAGTTCCCATGGAAAAAAGTCTGCTTTGGAGGGTTGACTCTGTGGCTTTATACTCTGCTTTGGTTGCTTTCCTCCCCAATCCCCACCTGGAGCTGGCAACCATGGGAAAACACAGGAAAAGGGGAGAGTCTATGGGGGCTTTCAGGAAAGGGAAAGGAGGAAATTATGGGGAAGGGGGAAATGAGGTGCCTCCCACAAATCCTTGCAAGTTCCCACATGTTTTACTCTAATCGATGAAAAATCATGCAGCTGGCATATAAAATGCTATAGAAACAAATTGCATTCAGCTCTCATCAGTGGGTTAAATAAAATTCTTCGTAGCCTACTCTATTACCCCATAATCTATGTCCTTGTTGTTTGAAATTAGGAATGACATGAAATTTTTCGTTACAAAGGTTACCTCAGCAATCCTTAGTCCAAGTGATAATTTATTCAAAAATGTTCCTTCCAGGCATTCTCACATATTGGGTGAAACTAGCATGACACTTCCTTGCAACTTTAAAGGAGAGTGGGTACAGAATCTTGATCGCACACTCTCAGAATTTGTTTTTTCAGCTGGGAGGGGTACCTACTCCTCAGTCCAGGGATAAACTAATAAACCCTAGGGAGCCTCTCCACTAAATTCCTTCCACCAATGGGAGCTACCTGTAAGAACTCTAAATGGGAGACTTCTCTTTCTCAAAGAAGAGGCACAGTGGCCAGCCATCTGTCGGAACTGTGTAGGAGTTCCTACAGGGAGAGTTTTATCCTGACCGTGGGGGTGCTGGGCTTCGTTTACAGAATTTCCCCATCCCACCCCGGATCGGGGGGGATGTATATTGACTACAAGGGGTTTTATATGTGCCCTACATGTGTGTAGGTGTGGTATCAGGGACTGTACACCAGTTTATACTAACGTCCAGCACAGTAGGAAGACTCTGGATTTAAAGAGCAAATTAAATAGTTTTTATTGAAAAGTTTCCCTAATTACAAGCACACTAAGCATTCAAAAAGAGCAAGTAATTCAGAACTAAGAAAGCAGAGGTGATTGATAGAGAATAGAGGGGTCAGTTACAGGGTAATACTACATGTCCAGATGTGCAGGGGTCCATGGAGAGGAGATTATAGTTTGGGGGTAAACTGCTAGTTGGCATCTGGGGCAGACACACAATCTGAGGCCATGTGCCTTGATGGATATAGGCACTGGAAAACAATGCAGACCAATGGGAGGCCTTGAGGGGCTTGTCCTAGGTGAAGACAAATGATTACCTGGACCAATGATGAGTCCCAGGGGGTATGACACCAGGAGGGGCAAGACCTAGGTGTGACCAATAAGGTTGCAGAGGAGCAGAGTCTGGATTCACAATAATGTTGATGGGATTACTGGAGATGGCTGAATGGGTTTGATGACTCCTGATGGTCCAGCCAAGGCAGATAGAATAGGTTCCCAAATTGAGACAAAAGGTGGGAAATAGGTCCCTGATAGACATCAGGAGGGATCGTTAATAATTTGAATGCTTTATTGGTTTATTTTGTTATCCTGTGGGAGGGGGTATGAAGGACAGGTGTTGAGACAAAGGATTCTCACATAGACATAGTTGCACACAAAAGGGCTAGGTGAAGTTCTGGAGACAAAAGGGCTATTCGCCAGGTGGCCTCTTAATAGCCTTAGAAATGTAGATACTTTACCTGGTAGAACCCATTGTTATTCCATAAGCATACCTCTACTGGGTGGAGGGGGGAGTTGGAGGTTGTTTTGGAGGGCTGACTTGTGCCGCCTGAAATTAAACCCTTTTTCAGAGGTTTTGGCTAGCTCTGTGTTTCAGGCCAGGAGTGCTTTCCTTGGCCTGACTTTGTGGGTCTCTGGTTCAGGTTAGAAGTGGGGTGCCCCGCTATTGGGGCCAGTGTTCCCTCTAAGCTGAGTTAGGGTGAGCTAGCTCTGTTTTTTAGCCTCCAGCTCACACATCTTTGCCTTAGCTCAGAAAGGATAGCTCCAGAGCAAACTGATTTGTGCAGTAGCCAAATCTCTGGCTCACAACTTTAATGCCAGTAGCTCACAAAGTAGAATTTGTGCTCACAAGACTCCACAGCTTAGAGGGAACATTGATTGGGGCTACCTGCGAGTAAGGCAGAACCTCTGGGCTACATTGGGTACAACCACACAATGGCTGCCACAAGAGGTGGAATCTCGGAGTTAGGTCATGCATAACTATAACAACTCTTCAGCATTTCAGACAGAAACTCTTTTTAACAGGATGTCTTTTAAAATTAACACATTGTTTAAAATATTTTCTCACATACACATGGCTTATCTTCAATTGTACAGTGAAGATCCTTGTGCTATGGTGACAACTGCTGTAAAAATAACATTTTAAATGTCTGCAGAGCTGATCAGATTTCCACTGGCCAACCAAAAGCCCTGCTGGGCAAAAGTCCCACCTGCCTGTGCTCACTTTCTGAAAACACTTGGTGGGTACCAGAAAAGGTGGGGAACTTTTCTTTAAAAAACAAAAACAAAACTAAAAGTTTTTATGTGTATGTGATAGTGGAAAAAATGGTGTACAAATAATGAAGTGTGGATTTGGAATAAATGCATAACTATAATTAGGATTTATAATATTTAGAAACATTAAGACCGGAAATATATGTGGTATTTCTGCCATAAAAGTCAGATTGGAGATTCACTGTGACAGTGTCTTGATTCTCACTTAATATGTGAGTCTCTTTAAGCATGGATCTTGCTGAAATCAGTTCAGTTTTGATACAATTATTTTATGATTAGTTGAGCTGTAACATTTAGTTGATCATTCAGTTACATAAATTAATCCAAAATTTTAGATCGACTAACAAGGTGCTTCCAATCAGACGGCATTAAAAAAATTAATATAAGAACATGAAAATTGTGAAAGGCAATAATCTTAGAAAAAATAATCATTTTAGAAAAAATGTTTTATTCATAAGTACATTTAGGCATACCGATGACTTAATCAAACTATTGATTAAGATATGATTAATTAACTAAGATTTATTAAATTAACTGAATAACAGCCCTAGAGGTTAAACACGAAGAGTCTGGCAATCATTGTTGTAACACCCCCTCTTCATAATGCAGCCTTTCTTCTTTTACTTAATAAAGTCCCTCAGCCTGAATTGGGATGTTATGCTTCAGCATTCACAACCTTCACCTGTACCAGGATGTTCAGATATGAGACAAAGTTATATTAGTTTTTTTAGATTTTAAAGGCTGTATAGCCATGGTCTTGGCATTGTAGGACCTGATGTTTCACCAGCAGCTGTGACTGGCATCCTCAGAGGTATAACACAGAAAGATGGAATACTCTCTGTGTCAGTATGGGAAGAAAAATGGTAGGCAGGTAATTTATATCTACTCAGGAAGGTGGGGTAGGACTGAGTCATTATCTTGTAGGAGTTCCCCAGGCTGTGACATGTTAATGGAGGAACTTTCCTGAAGAGGTTCTTTTGCATATGGATTGGCTGCAGTTTGTAAATGATGAACTAAATCACTTAGACCATGCACGTCAAGCAAATGGCTACTCCAAGAATGAAAACAGAAGAGTGATTAAACCAAAGGTAAAACAAACCACTGAGGAAAAACAGTCTCCCACAGGAAAAGTGTTTTGCCATATATCAAAGGAATCACTGATCAGATGGGAAATCATGAAAAAACACAACCTACAAACAGTATTCAGACCCCCCAGAAAAACACAACAGATGCTACGATCAGCAAAAGACAGAAGAGACCCCCTCACTTCTGCATACCACATATCCTGCAGTTGTAGACAGATTTATATTGGGACCACACAATGTAGCATCCAGACAAGAATAAAAGAACATGAAATACACTGCAGACTTGGCCAACCTGAAAAATCAGCAGTGGCTGAACATGGCCTAACTCAAACAGGACACATTATCTTATTCTAAGACACTGAAATGCTAAACAACACATCCAATTACCATGTCAGATTACATAGGGAAGCCATTGAAATTCATAAACATAAACACAATTTCAACAGGAAAGAAGAGAGTTTAAAAATAAATAGGGCATGGTTTCCAGTCCTTAAAAACACAAAATGCTCTATATCTTACAACAGCCGTACAGATAAAATTAGAATTTCAACAGCCAATCCATATGCAAAAGAACCTCCTCAGGAAAGCTCCTCCAAACCTCCGAAGTTGTAAATAGAGCCATGGTTGCTTGAGCAGGGGATGAATCACTAATGCTGTAACCAATTCATGTGACCATAAGCTGTGCATAAGTGTTACGCTCATGGCTGACAAATCCTTCTTAAACATGTGTATGATGGAAAATTTGAAAATAGGGCTATATTTTATTCCTATTAAAATTGTGACTCCTTAAAGTTACGAAATTAATACTGTTTTATCTGATTTGTATTTGCCTTCTTATTTTGTATGTTTTAATGGAGAGAGCAAATTTCAGAATACCTTTTAAGTATGTTGCTCTTTTCTTCCAGGTTATGAATTACAAAATTGTCCAGATCCTCCTCCTTTTTTAAATGGATATATAATCAACTCAGACTACAGTGTGGGACAATCTGTCTCTTTTGAGTGCTACCCTGGTTATGTTCTGATTGGTCACCCTATTCTCACTTGCCAGCATGGGATCAAAAGGAACTGGAATTATCCTTTCCCAAAGTGTGAAGGTAACTTTGGCTATTTTTAATCTTGTCTGAACATTTAGGATTTTAGCACTCTCATGTGCTCAAGGAATTAAGGGAAAAAAGCAGAAACCACAGTTAATAAAGTCTTCAGTGTAAAATACAGGACTGACAAATTGTACTTCAGAAATAGTTGGAACTTCTACATTTACAGTCTAAAGTATCTAGCAGACCTTGATTTCAATGCCAATATGAGACACAGCCCTAGAAATCTATATGTACAAGCACAGATTCCTAGCTAGCATTTACAAATGCATCCTGGGACCATGGTCTCATTGCCAATTGAACAGCTGGAATGAAGCATGGGGAAAATGCTGAAATCCTGCTGTTCATCAGTTTGGGAATTGAAGCAGGGGATGGGAATCAGTCTGCAAATTCTTCTTCCCCACAGACAGTTGATTTGATGGATTTTAGCTATTGTAAAAGGCTTCCATATGTACTCGTTTGGATTAGAGCCTAAATTCAATTAATTGCTCACAGTGAATATTCTAATACCTTCCTTACTGAGCTGTCGGTGGCCTGCCCTTCATGCATCTGCACATTTAAATTTAGAAAGCTAAATGATGATGCTTTGTGTTAGATTGTAAATCCAAATTACAATTCAGACACTTACATTTTAGTGTTATTTCGAATTACCTCAAATTACTTAGAAACATTATATATTACAGATAGAGGGGAAGAGCAAATTATCCTGTGTCTTTCCTAGAATTTTAATTATTTATATTGAATGCTATAATTAAAAGAGCTTTCTAATATCTGTAAATAAATATCCTTGACAAAAGCAAAACAACGAAAATGACCAGTATAATCTCTCTTTGTCATTCAAAGGAGCCAGATGGGATGGGAACCTGCAAACTAAACTGCATCAGGCCTAGTCAGCTATGTAGAACAGGCACATGAAATGCAACTCTTTCATGGCCATCACTAAAGTTTGTTTTAATTATGTGCACTGTGTTTTTTCTTAACACCGTGTAACATAATTCACAGATTTTTTTCTCCAGTAACTCAGCTTCCCTCATACATGCATTTTGTATGTGATGGAGTGCATTATTTTGAATATCCAAAGTGCTGTGTACTGAGCCAGGACAGTACCGGGAAACTGACTAAGCTTGTGTCACCTGAACAATGGGTAGCTAAAATCCTGTAACGGACCTATAGATTAGAAATGTAAATAGCCTATCATGGGAGTGTGTGTGGGGTGTGTGTGGTGTTTTGCATGAATATAAGCAGGACCCCATTCCTGCTGCATGCATATAAGCAGGGCTCTGGCTGAAATCACAAATAAACTATGAACTGATCACTTCATGTGTCTCGAACCCAGTATATTTCACAAAGGGAACACTCATGTATTCAGGTTAATTGTAAACAGAATTGTATGAATCTCCCATAATAGTAGTATATCATATAGTTGCTCCAGAAGCCAACCAAGCACATTGTTCCACTGGGTGATGTAAAAAGTCGAAGAAGAATTACGTCACCACATTTTTGTTCATATCATCTTAAAAGACTAGAGATACCAACTGTTTTAAGTGGAGCTGCCCAGCTCTAGCATAGCTGCAGGAGAACCACATATCCCCCTAAATATATTCAAGTTTAGCTGAAGACAAAAGGAAAGCCTTAACCCTGTTCAAAATAGGACAGCTTTTCAGCACTGAGGATGGCTTTCTGCCAGTGGATAAAAGGGCTAAGGGCAGCCTATAGGTCAGTGTCTAACATGCTAACATAGATCCATCATTCCAGCTAAGTAAGGTGGCCTACTAAGTACTTGACAACTCTTTTTTCCCATCCCAAGCAAAAAGCAAAAATGGTGGTAGGCCAGGATCAATAGTTGTACAGTCAGGTCTTTGGATAGACTTACCTCGTATAGGTAATGCTAATAGATATTAACCATAAAGTCCTAAACAGAATTACACTCTTCTAAGCCCCTTCAATAGACTGAGAACAATGTAGTTCTGCATAGGATTCCATTTAAATTGCATGTATATTTGTTTTTCTTAACTTGCATACAATGTAACATAAGACTGTCAAATGTACAATCTATCACTAAATGCACATAAAGATTAGATATTTATTTTAGGCACTTTCAACTCACTTTTCTCCACTCAATGTAAACTCAAAGCAGCTTACATGACTATGGAGCCTTAAGGCTCATCATATGCTCCCTCAACCCCAAAGAGGCTCCCAATTAGGTCACCTGGACTGCCAAGCCTCTAGGTACCCCATGAGGACTCCCCCCATTGCTGATACCTTGGGGTGCTTGCCAGCTCTAAAACCCCCTCAACCCATGTTTTTCCCCCCTTCCCTGTAAGGGCCTAACCAGTTTTACCAGGCCTATTTATGCCTCACCCCCTCAGACTATGTGAAGCAGGCGGAAAAAGTCCCCCCTCATGGCCAAGTTTGACTGAAGCCCAATAAATTCCAGGTCAGCCCCGCAACCATTGACTAGCTAAGCCCACATGGTTTTAAGACAGAGGACAAGTGGGTGGGGAGGTTGTGCTGGGCTGGAATGGTCAGGGGATGGCTGCCGCTGCCAGACCTGGCCAGCCAGCCAACACCTGATTGGTCAGTGCTCCCATGCTGAACCTTGGTAGGCTCCCTCCACCCTCGTGATTCCATCCGAGGAAGTGGGGGCAGGCAAATGCTGGTGCCTGCTCCACAGGCTGGCACAATTTTTTTTACACATTTTATATATTCTGGTACAATCACACAGTATGTCTGTTTGCAATTTGATCTGCAAACTACAAATATTGTGTTATAATGCAGTTATAATGTTATAATGCATAATTCTCCTAATTCTATTGTGAATCATCACAGCTTGCTTTGGGCTATAATCACCTCTGTAGAATGACTGTATCCAAGTCCCTGTAATTTGTAGGATTTTCCCTGTTAGCTTTCTTTGTTATGAATTTATTATAAACAACAGATCACTCAGGAAAGCATGAATCGCTCTTGTACCCTGCTTTTTGTGAACACACACACAGTTTTGTTTTCATTACATTTGCCACAACCCAGGATGCTGTATATTTTGATGTAGGCACCCCTAATCTATATACATCTATATACTATTATTCACTTGTGCCCTCCATCTGTGGATAGCTAAATCCACTGATTGGGGTTACATGGACACTAAATAGATTTTTCAGCAAGCTTGGGGGATGGCCCAGGTTTGCAGAAAGATTGGAATGTATTTATTTATTTTAAAAAAACCTAATCCCCCCAAAAGTAAAATAGCAGAGAATGCTGTTTCATTCTTACCTCAGTGTGCTCTAGCCTGGAACACACAATGGGCCTGGTGAAGACCGTGGCAGTGGTGAAGCAGCCCAGGGGCTTCACTGGGCAGCAGCTGCCAGAAAGCCTGGGGCAATGGCAATGATGAAGCAGCCCAGGAACCACGCCAGGCAGCAGCTGCCAGAGAGCCTGGGGGTTGCAGCAGTGATGAAGCAGCCCAGGAGATGTGCCAGTCCTGGCAGTGGCTGCTGGATAGATCAGGGATCATGCTGGGCTTGGAGGGAGGGGGAATTGGGATTCCCCCATGTGTCCCATGGGCTCCCACTTGTGGTGCATAACAGGATATTGGAGATGGAGAGCATCAGTAAATCAACAGCTGGTGTTGATTAATTTTCCTTGTACACCTTTATTGTCACATAGCTAGTGGAAGATGATTAGGGCATATGATGAAGCATTACCCCCTTAAGGCCAAATCCAAGTAGGGTAAAATAGCATTTGAGAACTAGGTGATGGTGGCAGAATGCTTAAGCAGGTATAGTCACCATGTGTGAAGAAATGCCATTTTTGGGTAGAGGTCTGACCTGAGTAAAACCTTTATTAGGAGGTTTTAAAAGTTTTTTTTTTCTGTCTAGGCAGAGAACAGGCAGGGAAGACCAAGTCAGTCAACAGCTTTCCATGCTCGCCTCAGCTACCTCTTGAGAAATACTAATAGCTCTAGCTAGAAACAATAGGAGGGTCCAATCTCCCCCCCCTTCAAGCAGGGAACCAGGGGTTGTAGCTAGGTGGGGGTCTGGGAGCAGGCCCCCCAAACCTTCAATTCCTCCACCCCACCCTGGGAGGATGCCAGACCCACCAACCCCTGGTGCCCCATGCTCCTTACACCTATAGGCAGTTGCTGCAGCCTCATCTGCTCTTCCTGCTGCTTCCTGCTTCCTGCTGTGATCTAGCAGGAGAGGAGGGAAAGGGGCAGCCTTACTGGGTCTCCCTGTTTCCACAGCTGGCTTCTCAAAGACCCCCTCCCTCCTTTCCTGCTTAGCCATGACAAGAAGAAGGAAGCAGCAGGAAGAGCCAGTGAGACCATGTGGCGACCTGCCAGCGTGGTAAGAAACTATTCCTCCCCCTCCCCTCCACTGCACAGTGCCATGAAAGGGCATTCTGCCCTGCCCTGCCTTCTGAACTTCACCGGTTCTTCCAGCTGCATTAATATAATTAACTGAGCTAATTTAATTGATCCATTAATTAAATTGGCTCAGTTAATAGAATTAGTACCCCAGCTCCCACCCCTCAACATTCCTAGCTATGGGCCTGCAGGGAACAGAGATTTGGAGGTGTTAAATACTAGAGAGACTTCAGGAAGGAACTCCTGGAGATCTCCAGGACAAGCTTCTTTGACCTGGCCTGACCTGGTCAGTGGATGGGGAATGGAGAGAAGATACAACTCCTGGAAGCAAGGGGGAAGGTGTCCTGGGATGCCGAGACCATCAGAGTAGACGGAAACTTTAACTGAGGTCTGGAGGAGGAGGCCATTACCATGGGTTGACCTAGACAGCTGGAGGAAGCTACAAGGTAATGGTAACTCTGTAGAGATCTATAATATTCTAGGCTAAGGAGCCTGTCCTATATTTTAACATCTGATAGGGCATGTATAGAGAGAGGGACAGAGGAATTGTGTTTGGCCGATTTGTTTAGAATCCCTTGCTCAATCTGGTGCTATGCTAAAAGTATACTTGTGAATGCTGGTAGTGGTTCTCTGTACC